TGTGTAGTCTAGGATCCCCTACTGCATCAGGTGTAGGACCTATTAGAGACTCTTTACTAGGACCCGCCATGTTGGTCCTCTCGTTTGTCCTAGACTGTGGCTCGTCTCGGTGTTGGTACACTCAGTTCCCCTCGGTTGCGCATGTGGGGGAGTCGACTGACTCTGGGGGCCCAGCTGCTGGGGGCGTGCCCACTCACCCTATCTCGTCCTCCCCCAGCCTTGCTACCCCAGTCACCTCAGCCACCTCCCCCCTTGCCTCAGCAGCAGCAGCAGCCGCCACCGCAGCCTCAGCGGCCGCAGCAGCGAGCAATAAGTTCTAGGGGTGCTACTTCTGGGAGTGCTAGTTTTGGAGGTGTTGGTGCTGGGGGTGTTGGTTATGGGGGTGCGAGTTCTGGGGGTGCTGATTCTGGGGGTGCTGGTTCTTTGGGTGGTGCGTCCGAGGGCGCTAGTCTTGGGGGTGCTGTTTCGGGGAGTGCTGGTGGCAGCTGCGGTGCCGCTGGAGGTCCTGGAGAGGACAGGGAGTAGTTGCAGCCACAACAGCAGCCGCAGCCACAGCAGCAGCAGCAGTAGCAGTAGCAGCCGCAAAAGTAGGCGCAGTCGCAACAGCAAGCGCAGCCACCGCAGCAGGAGCAGCTGCAGTCTGCCCTTCGTCTTGTTGGTCTTGCTCCAGGTTCCTCTGTCCGCCCACCCGTTCCCCCTCCGGTGCGTGACCATGTTTACAGCCCATTGTTCCCTCCTCCGGACTCCTCTCCGGCTCGTTTTCCCCCGTGCTCCCCTCCGTCCCCAGACTTGACCCCTGTTCCCCCTTGTCCCCAGTCCCCAGTTCTTCCCCACTGCGTCCGTCGCCCCTCTGGTGCTCGTCCTGTCTCTCCTCGTCCTAGTGTCCAACCTATGGTTCTTCGTTCGCGTGTTCCTCTTGTCACAGTCTTCCCATTGCCTCCCCCGTCGTCGCTCCCGTCATTCGCCCCTCCTCGCTCCGACGCTGCTCTCGCTGCTCGTCCTACCCTCTCGCGCTTGCTTGCATCGCTTGTCACCGACAATATTGCTCCTCCTGAGACTGTCTCTGCGCTTGTCGCTGCTGTTGCTAACTTCGCCGCTAGCCACCGCCTTGACTAAACTGCCGCTCTGGTCTGTGGTACTGTCCGTCCTCCGTCCGTCGGGGGTGCGCCTGTCCTTTGCAGTGACGTGCTAGAGGACAGGCAGTACGAGTTGGCCTACCTTGCTGCCGCTAATCCCCATCTCTGCTCCATGCTTGTCTCCCCAGAGGGCGACCCAGGCGCTCTCGACATTCCTGTTCCGCGCTCTTACGCTGAGGCGGTGTCGGGGCCCTAGGCAGCCCAGTGGATACAGGCCATGGAGGCTGAGATGGCATCCTACAGATCCATAGGCACTTACGTCGACGCAGTTTCCCCGCCTGGGGTGAACGTAATAGATGGCATGTGGATCTACAGGGTGAAGCGCACACTTGGAGAGTCGCCAAAGTTCAAAGCGCGTTATGTGGCTAGAGGCTTCAGTCAGCGTGAGGGTGTGGACTTCTTCCAGACCTTCTCCCCGACCCCGAAGATGACTACTCTTCGGGTCCTTCTTCATATAGCTACGCAGCGTGACTGTGAGCTTCACTCACTCGACTTCTCCACAATGTTCTTGCTGGGTATTTTGCACGAGAAGATCTACCTTCGGCACCCTATCAATGTGAAAGGACTCGAAGGGTCGCAACCGGAGGTTGCGACTGACCGTTACAACTGCAAAAATGGTAACCGAAGCGACAATCGAGTCGCTGTGCGACTCGATAACCGCCATTCAACTGTATTCTACAACTGCTTGTTTTTCTACTTTCTATATATTGCTGTATACTTGTTCACTTTAATCAATCACTTGTTCTCACATACTAGTACAAGGGTTCAACTACTCAACTTCCGCTGCACTACTGAAGTCTCATTCTTCAACTGGGACTTAGTCTCTGGAAAGATCCTAAGGGCTTTTCTCAGCCCAACACTCTCCTCATCTTTCTCCTTAAACCTCACGCCATTCCATGGCTTCCTCCTACTCCTAGCTACCTTAGTTTAACACAACACACTAGTACCGTATTCCCCCGGATAAAACACCCGCCGGAATTGATCACTCATGGGTGGTTTGGGCGGACCTGGGTGCTTAATTAAACTGGATATTTATACCACCCTACTTTTCAACATGAATCCAATACACCACCCCCCAGCTTCTTTACCTTCAATTTCTACAGCTTGGGGCTATGAACAATATAGTTTTAACATTGCACAGACTGTCCTACAGTCTAAAATATCAGGAGTTAGCACTAAACACCATGGTCTACTCCCTACGTCTACACTATGATCACTATTAGCATGGTGGTTGGGATCTTACAGGCCCCATGATATGGACGGCCGCTCCTAGTACTCGTCTACATCATCTTCAGATTCATCTTCGTCGTCACCTGCAACCCACATCTCCACGTCGCTACCCTCTGCAAACTCTTCCCACCACCCGTCGTCCGCGTCATCAGCAATGCCCTCTGCTGGCCATTCCCTTTCCTCCTCTGCTGCATCCTCTTCAAAGGCCTCTGCCACGTCTTCTTCGTCGTCTTCAGCGTCTCCAGTGGGAGGCTCGAGGCTGTCGTCGAACAAGGGGTTGACGTAGTCTGCTTCGCCCTCTTCAAAATGCACGTCATCAAAAACTTCCACTTCCGGCTTGCCACGGAGATGGCTCAGGATCAAATTGTCCTCCGAGCCGCCCAAGTCGTTGGAGATGCCGCAAGTCTTGAACGACTTGCGGATCAACTCCTCTGGGACTGCAGCCCAACTGCGAGCAATCCACTTGAGGATGAGCTCAGCTGGGGGCTTCTTGAGATTGCCTGCAGGGAATGGAATCACATGACGCAAATTCAGGATCAAGTTTTGGAGCCGCCGGCAGAGGCGAATTCAGTGTCAATTAAACAGTTGACACAATCGGAAGCAGCGGTACAGAAGACCCACCGTGTTTTGTCTTCTGCTCGATGCCAGTAGTCTCGAACCAGCCGCCATAGTCACTCCTGACACCGGCCTTGAAGGACTTGTTAACGACAACATCTAACGGCTGCACCAGTGGGGTGCAGCCGCCGGGGATCACAGCACGCGTCAGCTTGCACAGCTTCATAGTCTGCCCGACGGCCTGCGTGAGGTGGCCTTTGTAGGAGTCTAGGATCACGAGAGCCTCCTTACGCTTGTTCCTCGAGTCTCGCAGAGGTCGAAGGAAGGGGTTGAGCACTTGAGTCGTCCAGTCCTGGACTAGGCTGTCGTCCATCCAACCCTTCGGCTGGGCTCGGATGACAACACCTGCATGCACACCGGACTCGCAGTAAGGGGACGATGAGGATAGACGGCAAGTAACCGAGGGCTAGACATCACACACTTACCGGGGGGGACTTGAATCTTTGGGAGGGTTTTCCTCTTGAAGATAACGTAGGCCGGTAGCTTCAGACCAGACGCCGTTACCGCCAGCATAACGGTGAGCCTCTCTTTCTCGTAGCCCGCGGTCCTCACATGGACTGTACGTGACCCCTTGTGCTCGAGCGTCCTCTCCTGGGGCATTTCGATGAAGAGTGGAGTCTGGTCCGCATTCACGATGAGGTCGAGGCTGTACTTGTTGAGCACGCGCATTTGGCGAACGAATTCCCAAAATTTCTCGCATTTCTCGCGCATATCTGCCAGGTAAAACAAGGAACCGTTTTATTTTGCATGAATTCAGAAGCGGGTGAATGAGTTCGGTAAAACGACGGACTTACCGTCGGCCAGTTTCTGACCCATCTTCGTCTTAACACGACGAGTCAGGCCCCATCGGGCCCGAAAGCGAAACGTCCACCTGCTGGAGGCGCGCCAGTCGATGTCGGGATGGTGGTGTCGCATGTAGGCGCGGCTCCACTTCTGCAGCTGCTTGACGGAGACGGAGAGTCCTTTGCCGCGGTGCTTCAGAAACTGGCGGTAGAGGGCACGCTCCATTGCTGGGAATTTCGCTGGTCGTCCGGCCCCGACAAGACGCCTACGACAGCCGGCCGCGACGCGAAGCCGCTCGTGCGCCCTCTTCCATTCCCTGATGGACACAGGTTGCACTCCTGCAAGCCTCGCCAAACCACGAACAGAGAGGTCAGGTTGTGAGTCGGACATATGCAGCCAGAACAATTTCTCTTTCGCGGTGTACGACCGTCGTTTTTTCTTTGTCATCCTGCTGCGCGGCGACGGCGGAATACTATTGTCGATTCTAGAGGGACCACGTCGGTGCCGAACCGGTGAGGGGAACCTTGGAACGTGGACGCGTGGTAGAGGAGCACGACCTTCGGTCGCGCCAGTCGACTCGTCTGCCGTAGGAGTGCTGGCATCGCTAGCGGTGGGTATAGGGCTGCTGGGTGGCGATGTAACGGTAGGGCGAGCAGGAAGACGGAACAAGGTTTGCTGGCCATAAGGGCCACGCTGAGTGAAAAGACGGTTGAGGCCCGAGCCATTTGCCATAGCGAGTTGGAGCTATCCTAGCTGAGGGGAAGGATGCCCTCGACAACCCTTTTAGAGGTCGTTTTGAAGCCATCGTCTCTCAAAAAATCGAAATGAGTTGGGAGAACTGCCTATACCCTCAGCATGAGCGGCTTGGAGGGGATGGAGGGGACGTGGACGACTCCCTCACTCGAGCCGCTCACGATAGAGCCTTCACGACCATGCAGCACGGGAGAATCCGTGCGCTGGTCGGCCCTGTTTGGGTCGTGAAGGAATCTGCAGCAGATTCCTCTTGCAAAGGTTTGTTGGCACGTCGTGGCGTGGAGGTTGCCACCACGAGGTCACACCATGCCCCTATTGGCTGGAAAACGCAGGAGAACTGTGACGTAGCACAGTTTCACTTCCAACATGGCAGAAGGATACTCATCATCGGCGTATACGCGATTATGCGCAAGAATCATCCAAAATTGGCTCAGCACAAGTCTGTCAAGTACACATCTTAATCCTGGTTTCGTAATAGAAGAATGTCATTCCATAGCCCCCGGGCGTTGTACAAAAAGTGCCACTAATTACACCCCCACTAAATTTTGCATCAAAATTTGTTGCCACCCATGGGTGTTTTATCCGGGGGAATACGGTACAAACTAACCCTGTACCCTCCATTTTAGTCAATTTTGTAACTCTGAGACACAGTTCATGCTGATGAAAATACGTTTGCATGTTGTGCTGGCTCTATAGTCTATACGCCTGGACCGTACAATGCCACTACGGTACTCCAAGTGTCCGATACGGGTCGGTAACCAACGGCAGGGGATCCAGAGAAGAGGAGTATGACTTAAGAAGAGAAGGCGGCTGCGATAACAGTGATGTTGTACGATTTTCCGGGCATCACAGTGGTGTTGAACTTGAGAGTGGCACCTGGCGGGATTATCGCGGAGTCGTCGGGTGCACCCAGGGGAGGGCGTACCTGCGAGGGGGGTTTGGCATAGTGGAGGTGAGAGACAGACTGGTGAGTGATGATAAGGTGGAGGGGTGAGAGAGACGAGCGAGGGACGGAGGGAGAGGGGGGAAGAGCGAGAGAGTGCGGGACAAAAAGAGGGGGAAAGGGAGGGAGGGAGGATAGGAGCCCCCTTGACTGACTACCATATACCCAGGTTTCAGCAATATACGGACCCACTGAGAGGGAGGGAGGGAGGAAGGCAGGGGGAAATGTCGAGAGGAGGGAGGAAGGCAGGGGGAAATGTCGAGAGGAGGGAGGAAGATCAGGGTGAAGGGAGAGAGGAGAGAGCAGTGGGAAGGACCAAGCAGAAGAAGGACCAAGCACTGGAAGGTGTAGGCAGAAGGACCAGGAAAGATTGCCAACGGCAACAAAGAAGTAAGACACAACGCCAATGCCTACGATGTTCATCGCTGATTGCCGATGTGTGAAGCATGGCATGGAGGGCTCTTACCCTGAACTGATAGTTCCCATCTCCGTCTCCTCCAAGCAACTGCACCCGGGGCATGAGGAGGAAGGGGTGTTTGTAGATTCTGGCGATGTTGATGCTAAGACGAGAGATGGCGCGCTGCTGACACGTGTTGGTCAAGGAGACCTGAGAAGGGGTGGGAAGAGGGGAGGAGGGAGGAGGGCAACGGGAGAGGTGGCGAGGAAGGGATGTTGTGAGGAAGGGATGTGGCGAGGAAGGGATGTGGCGAGGAAGGGATGTGGCGAGGAAGGGATGTGGCGAGGAAGGGATGTGACGAGGAAGGGATGTGGCGAGAAAGGGATGTGGCGAGGAAGGGATGTGGCGAGGAAGGGATGTGGCGAGGAAGGGATGTGGCGAGGAAGGGATGTGGCGAGGAAGGGATGTGGCGAGGAAGGGATGTGGCGAGGAAGGGATGTGGCGAGGAAGGGATGTGGCGAGGAAGGGATGTGGCGAGAAAGGGATGTGGCGAGGAAGGGATGTGGCGAGGAAGGGATGTGGCGAGGAAGGGATGTGGCGAGGAAGGGATGTGGCGAGGAAGGGATGTGGCGAGGAAGGGATGTGGCGAGGAAGGGATGTGGCGAGGAAGGGATGTGGCGAGGAAGGGATGTGGCGAGGAAGGGATGTGGCGAGAAAGGGATGTGGCGAGGAAGGGATGTGGCGAGGAAGGGATGTGGCGAGGAAGGGATGTGGCGAGGAAGGGATGTGGCGAGGAAGGGATGTAGCGAGGAAGGGATGTGGCGAGGAAGGGATGTGGCGAGGAAGGGATGTGGCGAGGAAGGGATGTGGCGAGGAAGGGATGTGGCGAGGAAGGGATGTGGCGAGGAAGGGATGTGGCGAGGAAGGGTTGTGGCGAGGAAGGGGATGTGGCGAGGGAAGGGATGTGGCGAGGAAGGGATGTGGCGAGGAAGGGATGTGGCGAGGAAGGGATGTGGCGAGGAAGGGATGTGGCGAGGAAGGGATGTGGCGAGGAAGGGATGTGGCGAGGAAGGGATGTGGCGAGGAAAGGGATGTGGCGAGGAAGGGATGTGGCGAGGAAGGGATGTGGCGAGGAAGGGATGTGGCGAGGAAGGGATGTGGCGAGGAAGGGATGTGGCGAGGAAGGGATGTGGCGAGGAAGGGATGTGGCGAGGAAGGGATGTGGCGAGGAAGGGATGTGGCGAGGAAGGGATGTGGCGAGGAAGGGATGTGGCGAGGAAGGGATGTGGCGAGGAAGGGGGGGAGGGGGATGTGGCGAGGAAGGGATGTGGCGAGGAAGGGATGTGGCGAGGAAGGGATGTGGCGAGGAAGGGATGTGGCGAGGAAGGGATGTGGCGAGGAAGGGATGTGGCGAGGAAGGGATGTGGCGAGGAAGGGAATGTGGCGAGGAAGGGATGTGGCGAGGAAGGGATGTGGCGAGGAAGGGATGTGGCGAGGAAGGGATGTGGCGAGGAAGGGATGTGGCGAGGAAGGGATGTGGCGAGGAAGGGATGTGGCGAGGAAGGGATGTGGCGAGGAAGGGATGTGGACGAGGAAGGGATGTGGCGAGAAGGGATGTGGCGAGGAAGGGATGTGGCGAGGAAGGGATGTGGCGAGGAAGGGATGTGGCGAGGAAGGGATGTGGCGAGGAAGGGATGTGGCGAGGAAGGGATGTGGCGAGGAAGGGATGTGGCGAGGAAGGGATGTGGCGAGGAAGGGATGTGGCGAGGAAGGGATGTGGCGAGGAAGGGATGTGGCGAGGAAGGGATGTGGCGAGGAAGGGATGTGGCGAGGAAGGGATGTGGCGAGGAAGGGATGTGGCGAGGAAGGGATGTGGCGAGGAAGGGATGTGGCGAGGAAGGGATGTGGCGAGGAAGGGATGTGGCGAGGAAGGGATGTGGCGAGGAAGGGATGTGGCGAGGAAGGGATGTGGCGAGGAAGGGATGTGGCGAGGAAGGGATGTGGCGAGGAAGGGATGTGGCGAGGAAGGGATGTGGCGAGGAAGGGATGTGGCGAGGAAGGGATGTGGCGAGGAAGGGATGTGGCGAGGAAGGGATGTGGCGAGGAGGGATGTGGCGAGGAAGGGATGTGGCGAGGAAGGGATGTGGCGAGGAAGGGATGTGGCGAGGAAGGGATGTGGCGAGGAAGGGTGTGGCGAGGAAGGGATGTGGCGAGGAAGGGATGTGGCGAGGAAGGGATGTGGCGAGGAAGGGATGTGGCGAGGAAGGGATGTGGCGAGAAGGGATGTGGCGAGGAAGGGATGTGGCGAGGAAGGGATGTAGCGAGGAAGGGATGTGGCGAGGAAGGGATGTGGCGAGGAAGGGATGTGGCGAGGAAGGGATGTGGCGAGGAAGGGATGTGGCGAGGAAGGGATGTGGCGAGGAAGGGAGGGGAGGGGGTGTGGCGAGGAAGGGATGTGGCGAGGAAGGGATGTGGCGAGGAAGGGATGTGGCGAGGAAGGGATGTGGCGAGGAAGGGATGTGGCGAGGAAGGGATGTGGCGAGGAAGGGATGTGGCGAGGAAGGGATGTGGCGAGGAAGGGAGGGGGGGGGATGTGGCGAGGAAGGGATGTGGCGAGGAAGGGAATGTGGCGAGGAAGGGATGTGGCGAGGAAGGGATGTGGCGAGGAAGGGATGTGCGAGGAAGGGATGTGGGAGGAGGGAGGGGAGGGGGATGTGGCGAGGAAGGGATGTGGCGAGGAAGGGATGTGGCGAGGAAGGGATGTGGCGAGGAAGGGATGTGGCGAGGAAGGGATGTGGCGAGGAAGGGATGTGGCGAGGAAGGGATGTGGTGAGGACAAGGGCTGGAAAGCAGAACCAGAGAGAAAAATGATGTGTTGATTAGGCGGGAGGTTGAAGGAGAGAGAAGATCAGAAGGGAGGGCAGGAAAAATGAGAGCAGGAGAAGGGAGAGGAACAGGAATGGGAGAGCTTTACGTAAAAAGGAAAGGATGGGCTGAAGTGATGCAGTAGGCGACATTGATGGCAAGGTTGGGCTCCAGCTATAGGACGGATCTGGTGAAGAAACGAATATAAAGAGTTAAGTACCAAACCGGTGGTGCTTGGTAAGTTTCAAGAAGGGCACAGGGCGGAGGGCAGAGGGCGAAGAGCGGAGGGTGGAGGACGACCTCATAAGGGTGCATGAGTTGCACATAAAAGTTGACGGGGAAGCTGACTTGGTCATAGTGGAATGTCGTCACCACCACTGCTTTCTCGGCGCTGCCGTCCCTGCACTCTGCACGGCAGTGGGGTGGATATTGGGAGATGGGGGAACGGCGAGAGGGGGGACCCCGAGGTGTTGGCCAGTGGTGCAGTCCCCACATGCAGTCCCCACATGCAGTCCCCACATGCAGTCCCCATATGCAGCTGCTCACTGCTCCCCCACATGCTGCCACTGCCACCGCTGCCACTGCCACTGCTGCCATTGCCAGCGTTGCCGTCAACGGCAACTGCTCCCTCACTATCGTCATCATCATCATCATCATCATCATCAGCCACAGTCTCAGCAACAGCAGCAGCAGCAGGAGCAGCAGCAGCAGGGGCAGCAAGGATAGCAACAGAAGTGCTTGGGAGTTCTATGCCACTAGATCCTTGCTGCTCCCCTAACTCCCCCCCCTCTTGCTCTCTCCTCTTCACCCGCCCTTACCTCTTCACCCGCTCTCCCCTCTTCACCCGTTCTCATTGTCCGTCTTACCCATTGCTGCCTCACCCCCACCCTCCCTTCTGTCTCCATCGCCTCTTCCCCAACATTCCCTCCCCCTGGGCCCCTGCTGCGCCCAAAGTTCCCCCCTCCGCCCACTAACTCCCCCCGAGCTGGCCCTGCCTCACCCAAAGTTGCCGTCCCCGCCGTCCCCGCCAGCTTCAGCACCACCGCTAGAACGAACCAACGCAGCGCGGGGGAACGCGCGCGCAGGGAGAGCGCGCCCGCCATGGTCGAGGGGGAGAGCGTTCGGGGAGGCGCGGCTGGGATGGCGGAAGCCTGCGCGGAGCAGCGGGCGGGTGGGGATGCAGAGTGGAGGCGGCAAAATGAGTGGCGTGACTTCCGGAGTAGTTCAGAGTGGATAAGACGAACAACGTAAAAGCACTGGAAAGCTTTAGCGGTCGCACCCGCCGCCACCGCCGCTGCTACGCAAATCTGTCGAAGGTATGTGAGAGTGGTTCGCCGCTGCACCGACGTCGCCACGCAAAATGTCGGACAAAAGGCGAATCTCTGGGCGGAATAATGGGACGGATTTACATCCCGAAAAGATACCGGTCTCTGACTATGTACCCAACATCTCGCGACAAACGCCGCACGCAGTCCTGGCTAAGTCCGCAAACACATACTCAAGACCCGTATTGGTTGTATTAGTCCAGCGCTATGGACTTCACACTGTGTGCCAACAGTGTTGGGTTTGAAGCTATGCGCGGTTGCTTGAAACTATTGGGTTTTAAGTTTTTTTTTATGGTCGTAACCAGAGTGTACAGCACAGGCATCAGCTATGAGCTATAAATCAAGGTTGATGAAACAACCTGCACAAAAAGCATGCTAGCTGCCTAGCTCCACTACATCTGCAAAAAGTTACTGTCCCAGATCTGACCCCTCCATAGTGATGTCCCCAAATTGGCCGAGAAGATACCTGCGGGCTAGTTGAGGGATAGTTTCGCACAAAAATGACCCAAAACTATCCACCGTACTGACCCAAATCTATACCTCTCCCAAAAGACACCTTGGCACTCCGCAGATCTTTGAAGATGTGGGTTCAATGCAATGTTGGAGCGCGCAACTACTGCATCTAGGAAGTCGTGTGCGTTCACGACAGCGGTGAAGTACGGACGCTCAGACAGAGGAAGCGCATGACTAATGGCGAGCTACGCTACAGCATCGAGAGAATCCCAGACAGCGCGAGCGAGCGCAGCAGCAGCTACGGCCTCAATCTCAGCAGTGGTGGGGTCTGCAGGGAGGGGATCAGGTGCAGAGGGGAGGGGAAGCAAGCCATCAACATGCATAGCCAGGGAGTGCCCATCCTGGCGCTGACCTGTCAAGTGCCAGCGCACCATCGCTCACTTGAGCGGTGTTGCGGCAGTTCCTATCTTTCAGGGCTTTGCTCCCTCCCAGTGCATGTACACTGATGTCTCTGCCGCGGTTGCCACGGTTGCCGCTGCCACTGAGATAGCAGCAGCGCCTTTCCCGCAGCAGCGACAGCATCGGGGCCGCCGTGGCCCCAAGGGAGGGCGTGGTGGTGGCGCTGGTGGTGGTGGTGGTGGTGGTGGTGGTGGCGGGGATAGTGGTTCTGATGAGGGGGCTGGAGCTGGTGTCCAGGAGCACCATAAGTCGCAGAAAACGCAGCAGCAGCAGCAACAGCCGCCGCAGCAGCAGCCGCAACCGCAGCAGCAGCAGCCGCAGCACCAGCAGCAGCAGCCGTGGGCTCGCCTCCCGCCGGGGTGGCCAGGAGCCCCAGGAGGTGGTGGCAGCGGTGGTGACCCTCGCAGCTCGGTGTCTACCGGCGGTTTCAGTGCTGTGAGCTGCTAGTACCAGCTCTAGACCAGGCCCCTCCGTGGCACGGTGTGCCGCTGCCCGCACCCTACCGCCCGCTGCTTCCGCAGCCTCGACGACCTCTTCCGTTGCCGCTTCGGCCCGGCCCCGGTTTTCCCTGACTGGCCCAGTATGCTGCCACGGTGTGCCTGTTTTTGACTTAGACATGGATCAGATTAGCTATGCCCTGCATTCTCTGTATGCAGACGCTTCTAATGTGTCCAAGTCATATTACCCTGTGTTCTCTAGCTTAGGCGTAGCACCTGTGTGTAGTAAAGATTCCCTTGCTGCGTTAGGCGTAAGACCATTTGCCTTGTCTAGCCTAGGCTCTACACTCGCTCCTCCTTCGTCTGCCGCTACTGCTTCACTGTCCTTCACACTTGACTCCAGTGCGTCAGCCTGCTTCTTCCGCTACCACGCCACCCTCACGCCGGCTGCGCTGTGCTCCTCTCTCCTCCTCGCTTCGCCCTGCCACTGCACCCCTCCAGATCTTGCACTTGGACGTCTAGGGCCCAGCCCCTATCCCTGGACCGCGTCACGAGCGCTACTTTCTCGTGCTCGTCGACGACTTCACGCGATACACCACGGTGCTTCCCCTGCAAGGTAAGGTCGATGTGCCTAACGTTCTTATCCCATGGGTCGTAGCTGTGCGCCTTCACCACGGTTTCCCTGTGCTGTGTCTCCACTCTAACCGTGGCGGCGAGTTTGCCTTCGGTCGGCTTGGACAGTTCTGTCGTGCAAAGAGCATCACCTAGTCGTACACCCTGCCGAACTCCCCACAGAAGAATGGGGTCGCTGAGCAATGTATCAGTTTGGTCATAGAGGTGGCTCGTACCTCCATGATTCATGCCGGTGCACCCCATTTTCTGTGGCCGTTTGCCATTCGCTACGCCGCTCACCAGCTTAACCTCTAGCCACGCTCCCAGCGGCCACAGGTTTTCCCGACCCTTTTTTGGACCGGGTTCCTTGGTGACGCATCCGCGTTCCACATCTGGGGCTGCCTTGCTCACGTTTGTGCCTCTAGCACAGACAAGCTCACTGCCCGCACTGTCCCCTGTGTCTTCCTCGGTTTCCCCCTGGACTCGTCTGACTGGCATTTTTACCATCTGCCGTCTCACAGCTTCTTTCACTCCCGTGATACCACTTTCGATAAGTCTATCTCCTTTTACCACCACTTTCCGCACCGAGGTCTCCCAGTTTCCCCTCCCCTGTTTTTGGTTCCCACTCCCCCGGTAGCCCTCGCTCCCCTCTTTCCCCTCTTGCTCTCTCTCGTGTGTCTCACGTCACTCCCCTCCCGTCGGTTGTCCCCGTCGAGGAGTCGGCTGACTTTGGTGGCCTTGCGGCACAGTTCTTGCCGCCTATCTCTCCTCGGGTGTCTCCTCCTCCGATGTCGCAGCAGCCATCGCCGCTGACGCAGCCGTCACCGCTGCCGCAGCAGCCACCGTCGTCGTAGCAGCAGCAGCCGTTCGTGGACTCTGGGGGTGCTAGCGTTGAGAAGGGTGCTAGTCCTGGGGTTCCTGTCGTGGCTTGTCCCGACGGGCTCAGAGGTTGCACCGCTGCTGGAGAGGGTTCTCGCTCAGGGGGTGCTCGTTCTGGGGGTGCTGGAGTGGAGTGTTCCGGAGGTAGTCACGATGCAGCTAGCGGTCTAGGTGTCCGCGTCGAGCAGCAGCAGCAGTAGTCGCCGCCGGTGTCCACCCTTTGCCTGCTCGGCCTTCCCTCCCCCGACCGCTCGCTTGCGCCTTCCCCGTCGCCTCCTCCCTTTCCTGTCCACGGTCCTGTGTTTCCTCCGCCGGACTCGTCCCCGGCCCGTTTCCCACCTCGTTCCCCTCCTGTTACTCCTCCTCTGTCTCCTGACCCAACGCCTCCGTCTCATGTCTGGTCTAGCTGTCCCTCTCGTGCTCGTCCTGCCCCTCCTATTCTGCATTCTCACCATATGTTGCTTTGTTCCCATGCATCTCGTCCTCCCCTCCTGCCTTCCCCTCCTCCGTCGTCGCTCGCTCTCGCGCCTCCCCCTCTGTCTGACTACCTTTGTGCTGCTCGTCCTCTTGTTCCTCGTGTCCTTGCCTCCCTCGTAACCGACCCTTCTGTTCCTCTCTCGAGTCTTAACGCTCTTGTTGCTACTGTCCCTGACTTCGCCTCTACCATCCGCCTTGATAACGCCACCTCTCTGGTCTCTGACCCTGTCTGTCCTCCGTCCGTCGGGGGTGCTCCTGCCTTGTGCAGTGACGTCCTAGAGGACACGCAGTACAAGCTTGCTTTCCTGTCAGAGGCTGCTCCCCATCTCTGTTCCATGCTGCTATTCCCTGAGGGTGACGTCTTTGACATCCCGAACCCCCGCACCTACGCTGAGGCGACCTCGGGACCCTGGGTCTCTCAGTGGATAGCTGCCATGGACACAGAGATGGCATCTTGGAGATCCACTGGCACTTCCGTCGACGCAGTTCCCCCAGCTGGGATGAACGTAGTCGATGGCCGGTGGCTCTTCAAGGTGAAGCGCCCTCCTGGAGAGCCGCCTATGTTCAAGGCGCGCTACGTGGCTAGAGGCTTTAGCCAGCGTGAGGGGGTGGAATTCTTTTAGACCTTCGCCCCGACCCCGAAGATGACTACTCTTCAGGTGCTGCTATACGTAGCAGCACAGCGTGACTATAAATTACAGTCCCTCGACCTCTCTTCTGCGTTTCTTCAGGGCAGCCTACACGAGCAGGTTTACCTGCGCCGTCCTCAGGGCTTTACTGGTACTTTCCCTCGTGGGACCCAGTGGCTCCTCTGGGGCCCGGTCTACGGCCTGCGACAGGAACCCCGCGAGTGGCACAACACAATGTGTGCTACGCTTGCTGACTTGCAATTCATTCCGTCCTCTGCAGACCCTTTGCACTTTGTTCGTGCTGGCCAGACTTCGTTCTAGATCCTTGTCTACGTAGACAACCTGATCTTCGCTACTGCAGACAGAGATGCGCTGGCCTCCATGAAGGCCGAGCTGCTGAGGAGACACACCTGCACTGACCTAGGAGAGCTGCGCCACTACCTTGACTTGCAGATCTCCAAGGAAATAGCAGTGCGCATCATTACTCTTACACATTCACACTTGGTGCGCCATGTTCTTCAGAGGTTCGGTCTTCAGTTCTCCACACAGCCCACATCTCTACCAATAGACTACATGCTCTCAGCTCCACTTCCTGAAGAGGCAGCAGAGCCCAATGGTCCTTATGCAGAGCTGGTGGGTTGCCTCATGTACCTGATGACTTGTACTCGTCCAGATCTCGCATACTTGCCCAGCATCCTGGCTCACTTTGTGGCCACAAGCAGACACCGACCACAACACTGGTCGGCCGCTAAGAGGATTTTGTGTTATCTCGCAAGTACATCGGGCATGGGGCTAGTGCTGGGAGGACGCAGGCCAGTGGTCCTTACAGGGCACACAGACGCTTCTTGGGCAGATGACGCTGAGACCCTCAGGTCCTCCCAGGGCTACTGCTTTAGCCTTGGTTCAGGTGCCATGTCGTGGAGGTCCATTTGCTCCTCGTCTGTTGCCTAGTCTAGCCATGAGGCTGAGATCTACACAGGTGCCATGGCGGCACAAGAGCTCCCCTGGCTGACCTTCTTGCTCGCTGACTTAGGTGAGCGGCCTAGCTATGCCCCGGTTCTGTACGTTGACAACATGGCCATGATCCTCTTGTGTCGGGAGCCACGACTTGAGGGCAGAGCGAAGCACATCCAGCTGCGGTACTTCCTTCTGCGCGAGCTACAGCAGCGTCGCCAGGCCCGCGTAGTACACTTGGCCTCCGGTGCCAACACAGTTGATACCTTTACGAAGGTGCTTGCGCGTAAAGACCATCAGCAGCACTGCTTGCAGCTTGGTCTAGTTCATGTAGACTCTCACTATATTTATACCTTCCAGACTAGCCTTGTGGCTTCTCTTCCAGTGGCCGGACCTGTAGTGCCGCCATGGTTTGCTCTTGTCTTGTTTGTACTCTTGCTGACTGGTCTTCGGACCCTTGTCTCAAAGGTTGGACTAGTAGTGCCACCCTGAGCTGCGTGTTTCTTGCTCAGCACTAACCCTTATCTAGCCTAGGGGGTGTTTCAACTTATACATATGTTTGTATGTAGAAGTAAATAGGCTAGATAGGTGTATGTTCTTAGAGGGTACAACTCCAACCCTATATCTCCCTTGTTCTCTTTTATTTCTATTCATTCTAGTATTCTAAGATTTACTGCCTCGATGGATACAAACCAAACCAGGATTCTAACCATCCGTGGTTACCCTGTTTGTGTCCAATTACATAGTACCGAACAAAATCTCCACGTAAGTTACACATCGCCCCTCGATGCGTCATGCACACGCAAGAATTGGTAAATTAAGCCCTACAAATGCTTCCACCCACCCAACCAAACAATGACGCCACACACAACACCCACTCCCTTTCGCTGACTCGCCATTTTTTCCTATTTCTTTCCAGATCTAGGTGCTCTAGCCTTGTGTCTAGGTGCTTGAAGGATGGAGCAAATTTCTGCTTCCAAAAGATTTGGTTGAAGACGAAGAAGGGATCGACACTGCCGCCATTCTGCTCCAAGACCGGCAAGAAGGACTGTTATAAACATGTCCTTTGGGAAGTATCCGCCGCACTTTTCCAATTGATTACGAAGTGTTCGAGCCCTGTTGACATAATCCTAAGCATTCTCGTTGCCCTGCATCTGTACAGTTGTCATTTGTGAGAGAATTTTACTCACGGAAATTGTGTCATGTGCCATGTATAATCCCTTCAAATGCTTCCACGCAGATTCTCTTGGAGTCAAACTGGTGTGAAGAGAGTGTCTACCGAGCTGCTCTTTCAGCGACAGATTACGTATAAGGACGGTGTAAGCGCCGAGTGAAGTATGAAGAAAACTCTATTGTTCGATGTGTGTTCCCGTAACAGGATAAGAGTAATCGCCACTGAAGAACGGCCACAATCCAGCGGATTTCGTGAGAAGCTCGAACTCAAAACTCCAGGCGTAGAAGTCAGAGCCATTAAAAGGTACAGTTGTCTTAATCTGTGTATTGCTTAAAAGGTTCGGTGCCTGAAAGACAGCACCAGCGAGAGAAGTGTGCTGCTGCTGTAGAAACTGCTGTTGTTGCTGAAATTGTTGTTGTGCTTGATGTTGTTGCTGAAGGAATTGAAACTGTTGATGTTTAGCAGGTGTAAATGCAAACGAAGAACAGGAGCTTGGAGCGGCTGCAGCTCTTGCATAGCTGGAACCATCGATACTCATTCCACTAAAAGCCACTGATATTGATGCTGCTGCTTGTTGCTGTTGTGTTGCAGATGCAGAGGACGAAGTCCCCAGTGGATGCACAGTAGGCAAACCTTACTGCTGTTGCGGCATCCCAACTGAAGAATAAACAGGTGGAAAGTTTCCAACTGCAGAGTTACCTGCTTGACCAGTGTTGACTGCAGGATTTGTAACACCCGTAGGTCCAGTTGTTGAGGAACCAGATGATGGAGCCGATGATGGTCCAGTCATGATTGTTGATAGTCGAATTGACAAGAGTCTTAATTCCAGACTGCTCTCATACCATGAAAGAATTTGAAACGTGGTGCAGGAGACTAAGTATAGAATTTGCAGACACAAGTACTTGAAGTAGAAAGTAATACTAGAAGTACCTCCAGTAACAACCAGTACTAACAAGTTGTAACACCAGAGTCAGTGTTACAGCCTTGCGATACTTCAAGACTTAACCAAGGATCTTTGCTGGAATGGTAGACTAGTAAGACAGCGGAAGTCTTAGAACTTGTAAAGTATTGACAAGAATTTACTGAACAAGTTAATAGTTGAAATTGTACAAGCTACTTTTATATCTGCTAGAAGTACCTATTCGGTGATGTACCTGCTCGAGCTATTTACGCTATGCGCTCTAACTGCTACTGAAAAGAGCGCGACTGTTCGCGTGACTGAAACGGCTTGCTGAAGTAACCATCCAGATGAGGGCTATTTGCTGACGTCATTCTACGGATGCTAACTACAGTGTAACTCGACAATATCTATCGAGACTACTTACAGAAATGCTTGAGAACGATTTTACCACAAGAGGAAGTACCTCCACTAACAGCCAGTATGAAGAAGTTGTAACCCTAGAGTCAGTGTAACAACCTTGCGATACTTCAAGACTTAACCAGGGATCTTTGCTGGAATGGTAGACTAGTAAGACAGCGGAAGTCGTAGAACTTCTTAAGTATTGACAAGAATTTACTGAAGAACAAGTTAATAATTGAAATTGTACAAGCTACTTTTATATCTGCTAGAAGTACCTATTCGATGATGCACCTGTTCGAGCTATTTGCACTATGCGCTCTAACCGCTACTGAAAAGAGCGTGACTGTTCGTGTGACTAAAACGGCTTGCTGACGTAACCATCCAGACGAGCGCTATTTGCTGACGTCATTCTATGGATGCTAACGACAGAATAACTCGACTATATCTATCGAGACTAATACATAAACGCTTACCGGTAAGTACGATTTTGCCACAACACATAGAACCATGGTCTTATATTTTTTTGGCCTTTAATTCCACCCACCCCAAAATTTTCATGAATTTTATTAGCTCCCTAGCAGGCCCCCAAATTGGTTTTGGGCCTGTCTAATTCGTCAGAATCCCTTGCCTTCCCTTGGTATGGGTGTCAGAGTTACCTCCTTGAAAAAGTCTGAAAAATCAGAGTAGCCTTCGTTTTTTTGTCTGACCAATCAGAGTCATAGCCAAACTTTTGTATGAGCCTTTTTTATGGTAGTTCATTAGAGAATGCACTACATTTCACTACTTACACGGAATCAGTTGATATCATGCATATCCTGGTGAGGTGCTGCCGGCATATCATCATCTTCTTTCTCTTTTCCCTTCCTACTACTACTGGCCTCGGGCAGGGCGTTGCTAAGGGGCTTCCTTTTCTTATAAGCCCGCCAGATGGTGACCACCTCGTCCCAGTCGGGGTCATACTCTGCAACATGCACATCACATCTCCTAGCCTAGTATCCTTGAGAGCCCCCCGCAACCAACTCTTGATGACGTTCTGGCGGGAGAATTCGCGCTCGCACTCGACAGTGCTCAACGGAAGGACAGCCACCGCCACCCACAAGTTGATCAGGTTGGGGTAGCTGTCCCTCCAGCCACCGCTTCCCCTAGCTCTTATTCGCCTCTGCTCTCTGCTGTGCCATGCACGCCTGTCTCCCTCCCCATCACCCGCAGCTGCCGCTGGGGAGCGCGCTGCAAGTTCGTGCACCAGGCGCCCGCACCCACCCAGCACGCACAGCGTGTACGGATGCCCGCATGGCATGGCGTGGGGTGGCGGGGCATGTTGGGGGATGGGTTGATACGAATGCTGCTGACAGCATGGCACAGTGCACGCACATGACAGGGGCTGCAAAGAGTAGCAGGTGTATCGGAGCTTAGTCCGTACCCTGTGCATGTCGCCGCCAACATGTGCCTCCTCCGCATCCCCGCTCTCACCCTGCTGTCCTGCCTCTCACTCACCCCATCGTCTCCCTCCTGCGCCCTCATCCTCCCACCCACTCACCTGCTCCTCCCCGTCCACCTTCCCTCTCCCCCTCTCTCCGGTTCCTCCTTCCCCCTATCAGGGCAACCGCTACGCCGAGCTCAGTGGGGAGTGGGGGGGGGGGGAGGATGGGGAGGTGGTGGCAGGGGGCAGGGGGAGGGGGAGGTGGAGGGGGGCGAGGAGGGCGCGGAGGGGGGAGTGGTGCAGGGCAGGGAGGGGGTGGGGGGCAGCAGATTGTGCAGCGAGAGCACAGGTGATAAGGGGGGAGAGGGGGGGGGAGGGCTCGTGGTGAGGCAAGCACACGATTAGAGTGAGTGAGTGATGCGCTCCATGCCGTGACCGCCATGCCGCCATGATGTCCCTGTGTCCTTGTGTCCTCGTGGCAGGCCTTTCGATTCATTTTAGGGAACACTGAATCGTCAGCCCCCTCCCCATCTTAGGCTGATGCTGCAGCCTCCCCCCTGTGAAAAGGCTGGAAACTCAGAATTCACTGAAATTTCTTCCTGATCAGTCATCCTAACTTAGAAGAAGAATGCTGATGCACAATTTGAATGGTGCATCAATGTTCAGCTGTTGGCTTTCAGTAACGAGGCTACCGCTTGGCTGGCGCACTTGACAATCCAATGATTGGCTGGCGCAATAACAATTTGGTCAAGTTCCAACCACCCTACGCAGATAAGGTGTTTGTGTGTCAGCGTGGTGCCAGGGTCTGGGTGGTGAGGACTTCGCCGAGTTACCTGAATTGCGGAGGGGTGTGGAAGTACTGTTTCTGATTGTAGAGGACTTAGCTGAAGAATCTGGTTTGTGGGCACCCCCAATATTACGCTGAGGCATTAGCGCACACCCACAAAAATCGCTGAGATTTCAGCCAATACATGGAAGAGGAGTCTGATTTCAGCCTTCACTCTTAAAAAAAGGCTGAAGAATCAGCTTTGGTACAAAAGGAAGCCTAAAAGAGGGCTGAATCGGCATAAAAAGGCTGATATCTAGGGCCCTGCCCTCTGCTCCCGTGTCCCCGTGTCCTCCCCTCCCCCGCCCCCCTGGCAGCTGCGTGGACCGCTTGGACTGTGAGTCGATCATAGCAGAGGATGCGGAGAAGGAGCGCCCGCTGTGGAGGGCGTCCGTGTACGCGCACTGGAAGTAGTGAGTGCACTGGAAGTAGTGAGCGCACTGGAAGTAGTGAGCGCACTGGAAGTAGTGAGCGCACTGGAAGTAGTGAGCGCACTGGAAGTAGTGAGCGCACTGGAAGTAGTGAGCGCACTGGAAGTAGTGAGCGCACTGGAAGTAGTGAGCGCACTGGAAGTAGTGAGCGCACTGGAAGTAGTGAGCGCACTGGAAGTAGTGAGCGCACTGGAAGTAGTGAGCGCACTGGAAGTAGTGAGCGCACTGGAAGTAGTGAGCGCACTGGAAGTAGTGAGCGCACTGGAAGTAGTGAGCGCACTGGAAGTAGTGAGCGCACTGGAAGTAGTGAGCGCACTGGAAGTAGTGAGCGCACTGGAAGTAGTGAGCGCACTGGAAGTAGTGAGCGCACTGGAAGTAGTGAGCGCACTGGAAGTAGTGAGCGCACTGGAAGTAGTGAGCGCACTGGAAGTAGTGAGCGCACTGGAAGTAGTGAGTGCACTGGAAGCAGGGAGGCTTGCGCCACCACAGCCACGCACATGCCAGTGTGCCCACGGGCCATGCGATGCCACGCCCATGGCTGCACTCGTGATGCCGCCCAGCTTTGCACCACAACCATGCCTGCCCCACTGCGTGCGCACGTTGCTGCATGCTCCCTTTCACTGCGCTCACCCCGCCCCTCACCCCCCCTCCCCCGTGTGTGCATGTGTGGTGTGTGTGGCAGTCTGCCATGCGATGTGGGGTCAGATGTGAGTCATGAGGAGGCGCGCCTGCTCGCCTACACACAGGCACAGCAGGGAGTCCCCCTCCCATCCATTGTCAGTCGTGCTCCATATTCTCTACCCTACAATACCATACCGTACTGAACTGTACTGTACCATACTGTACCATACCATACTATACCATACCATACCGTACCATACCATACCATACCATACCATAACATACCATACCATGCCATGCCATACCATACCATGCCATACCATACCATACCATACCGCACCATGCCTGTTATGCAGTTCCGTGTGTCCAATGCCTTCTACCCAACATCTTTCCCCAGTCCCTGTCATGTTCACATGCCATGCTGAGCAACCTTTTTCTGATTGAAGTTTTCCGCCTAGAATCATGTGTGCACCCCTCCCCACCCCCCGTCCAGGTGGCATCAGAGCGCGCCATGCTTGCCAATGCTGATGCCGCCCACGCTGCCTTCCGCTCGCACCGCTACACCGGCCCTGTCAGACAGCCTCCCAGCGCTCCGCCCGCCATGGCCTTCCCCCCCGCCACCTTTGCCCCGCCCTCCCCCCCTGCGTTCATGGCGCCTCCATCAGCCCCCAGTGCCCCCCTTGGTGCTGGCGGCATGCTGTTCGGGAAAGTCATTTCGCAAGCACGGCCTGCCACTGCCATGGCACCATCGCCCTTCTCCTCCTCACCCATCTCCTCTTTCCCCACGCCCCAACAACCGTCACCCTTCCCCTTTGGCCCCTCTCAAGCCTTAGCATCGCCCTCCCCCGCTGCTTCGCCCTTTACCCCCTTCTCTAGCGCCCCATCTCCCTTCTCACCAGCAACTCCACAGCCCCACCTGCTATTTGGACAACCCACCGCCTCTCCCTTCCATCCCGCCCCTTCATCCTCCCCCTTCGCCACTATCCCGTCACCTGCCCCCTTCGCCCCACTCGCCGCTGCCAGCCCATCGCCCCTGCCCTCCTTCCCCCAGCCCGCTGCCGCCGTGCACGTGCCTGGTAGCAGCGCAGCCAGTGTTGGGGGCGTGGGCGGTGGAGAGGGGTCCGTGTGGAGCAGTGGGCGGTGGAGGCTTGGAGAGGTATGGGCAAGGATTCATAGGCACACCCTCCACCCCGTGCTCTTCTCAATGCCTGCTTCCTTCTATGCACCTGCATTTCCGTTGCTCGTTGTGTATCGCCATGGTGCCCCCTCTCCGCCTTTCCCCCCCCTGCTGCCCCTCGCACTGTTCAGATACCGGAAGAGGAGCCGCCTCCGGCTGTCTGCGTGTGAAACGAGCAATTCTAGAGCCACCTACGCCGCAGTGCTCAAAGCTGCCAGCCAGCGGCAATCAGATGGGGTAGTGCATTTGACAGTATTGTATCATGGAATGTTGGGGTTAGCGCATGTTGGGCTGAGAAATGCCCTTAGGATCTTTTCAGAGACTGTCCCAGTTGAAGATTGAGACTTGAGTAGTGCAGCGGAAGTTGAGGCAGTTGAACCCTTGTACTAGTATATGAGAACAAGTGATAATTAAAGAAACAAGCATACAGCAATATATAGGAAATAAGAAAGCAGTTGTAGAATACAGTTGCAGGAGCGGTTATCGAGTCGCACAGGCGACTCAATTGCCGCTTCGGTTACCATCCGCGATGTTGTAACTGTCAGTCGCAACCTCCAGTTGCGACCTTTCGAGTTCCTTCGCGTTCTTTGTCTGCCCCCTCGTGTAACCTCCGTTGACTCGCGTACCCCCCCTGTAATCTTCCTCGAGTGTAGTGTTACACTTCAGAAACGCTTAAGTCCTTTGAGATATTTCCAACACTCCCCTTCGTTTCTGGAGTGCTGGCGTGTTCAGATCCGGTGATGTTTGTTTGTCCGGTCAGGAGCATGCAGTAATCGAATTTTGCCTTCGCCAATTTCTTTGTCAGATAGTCTGCGGCCATTTCTGTCGTCGGGCAGTAACTGAGTTGAAGTCTCCCCTTCGCGATTTCATCCTTGACGAAGAAGTACCGCAGGGCGATGTGCTTGGTTCGGTTGGCGAAGCCATCCTTGTTCGCGATTTTGATCGCAGATTGGTTGTCGCAGAAGAGTGAGAAGGCGGGCAGGGTCGCAATCTTCGCTTCCTCGAGTAACTCTCGTAGGTAGAGTCCTTCCTTGGTCGCAGTGCAAAGGGCGATATACTCTGCTTCAGCCGAAGATAGTGCGATTAGTTCCTGCTTGCTCGACTGCCAGGAGATAGTCCCGATAGGTTCTAGTCGGTAGATGTAGCCCGTCCTGGATCGTCGATTTTCCTTATCTCCCGCGTGGTCGGCGTCGACGTATCCGAGTAGTTGTATGGACGATGTTGTTGCTTTACTGTAGGTAAGCCCGGTCGTCGGCGTGGAGACGAAGTAGAGTAGTGCCCGATTGAGTTCCTCGAGATCTTCTTGTTCCGGCTGCTTCAGGTGCGTCGCCAGTTGGCTCGCACTATAAGATAGATCGGGTCGGCAGGTTACTGCTGCGAATAGTAGGCAGCCGAGTTTCTGCTGATACTCCTGAATTTGCTTCGCGGGGAGTTTTGCGGAGGTGCTGCTGTTGTTCCCGTAGCGGTAGGGAGTCGGGACCGTAGTCGGCGTTAGACCGAATTTCTTCGCGACAGTGCCTGCGTATTTTCCGGCGTGTAGGTAGAACGCCGAGTTGTCTTCGACGACATTCAGTCCTAGGTACTGGGTCACTGTGTCGGACACCGTGAGTGTCAAGTCTCTTTTCAGCTCCCCTTCGAACCAGGTGGCGATGTCGGCAGTGGAACCGATGTAGAGCAGGTCGTCGACGTAAACGATGAGTAGGATATACTCTCTTCCCTTCTGCAGTCGGTACATCCCTTGGTCATGTGGTAGCTGTAGGAATCCGATTTTTGCGAGGCGACCGTGAAGATGCTGCTGCCAGAGCCGCGGGGCTTGCTTGATCCCGTATAGGGATTTTATCAGTTGGCATACTTTCGTGGGGTTGTCGATGAATCCGTGGGGTTGCTCGACGAAGATCTCAGCGTCCACAGGTGCGTACAGGAAAGCATTGGCGACGTCGATTTGGCGCGGTGGTAGTTCCTTCGTGGCCGCGACGGCGAGTAGAATGCGCAGGGAGGTGTGACGGGAGACTGGGGCGAAGGTTTCTGTGTAGTCGGTTCCGTATCGTTGATCGAAGCCTCGTATGACCCATCGAGCTTTGAATCGTTCGGTGGAACCGTCCGCATTGGTCTTGATGCGGTACACCCATTTTCCCGAGAGGACGTTCTTCCCGTTGATGCTTGTTGCAGGTACCAGCTTCCATGTATTTCGGTCTTGCAGAGCCTTTAACTCCTTTTCCATCGCCTCCTTCCATTTCGCCTTGTGTTCCCCCCCCAGGGCCTGCGACAGAGTCGATGGCTCGCGCGGAGATGGCGGCGGTGGATGCTGGACGGAGACCCAAAGGCCGAGAATCTGCAGTCCCGTGGGTGTGTGTCGAGGGGAATTTTCATTCCCGGAATAAGCTGCTTCGTCACCGTCTTCTGGGTCAGGTAAGAAGTTTGGGCCGATGCGTTCTGAAACATTTGTGTCGACTGGGTGGGGTGTAATGGAACCTTGGTCAGCAAAGTGGTAAAAGGTGTCGAGGTTGCTACTATCGAGAGGGTTGTCTTCGTCGAGTGGAACAGGTACGGAACAGAAAGGGAGTGGTCCGGCAGCTTCCGAGGCTTCAGGTACGTCTTCTTCTGCTGCGTCAGCTTCGGCAGCACGGTCGGCGAAGGAACGAAGTCCCGAGAAGCCGTCGGTGGGGTCTTGTGTGTTGGCAATGTTGTCCAGGTAATGCTGCAGCGTCAGTCGCTCGTAGAAGATAACATCACGTGATGCCACTGTATTTTTGTTTTGTATGTCGAGGATTTTCCATGCGTGAAAATGTTTTGCGATGCCGAGGTGTACTCCCCATCGAGCTCGTTGAGTGAAGCGTCCTGCTCGGGCGGTGTGGGGTCTGTACTGTACCATGCAGCCGAAAACTCGAAGTAATTTTGTGCTGCCCCGTTTTCGTGTCCACATGAGGTGCGGTGATGCGTTGTTGGGAAGTGATGACGAGGACAACAGGTTGTGCAGGTGAACTGCATGGGTCATCGCGTCTGGCCACAGTGTGGTGGGCAGCCTCATCCCCAGGAGCAGCTTTCGCATCGTCGTCTGCAAGGTCCGGTTCATGCGTTCTGCGACCCCCTGCTGTTGGTGAGCGTATGGCAGAGACACCAGGCGTCTGATTCCTCTTTCCGCCAGATAGGTCCTGAAGCGTTGTGACTGGTATTCCAGTGCACCGTCTGACTGGAAGCTCTTGAGCTTGGTTCCTGATTCTCGTTCGGCGATGGGGAGCCATGTTGTGAAGGCGTCGAACGCTTGATCGCGCGTCTTGAGGTTGTAGTGCCAGACGTATCGTGTTGCTGCGTCGATGAACGTGATGACATAGTTGAAGTCTGCTTCTGTGTCTTCTCGAGGCATGTTTAAAATATCGCTGTAGACTTTTTCCATCGGTGCGTATGCAGGTGCGCTTGGGTTGTGATGAGATGGAAAGGAGTGGTGGGGAAGATCGGCTTCGGGGCACGTGAAGCACCGTGCGCGTGGTCGTCGAAGTTCTTGGCCGCTTGTTGTTAGGAGGGCGTTGCGTTCTAACACTTCGGCTTGGATGGTTTGTAGTACTGTACTATTTGCAGGGTGCCCGAGGCGTTGGTGCCAGATGTCGTCGGGAGCGCGATGGCCGGGCGAACGGTGGTATATGTCGGCGTTGGAGAAGAACGCGACGACTGTGGCGGGACTTCGACAGACTTCTCGTGTGATGGGCATAAGCTGGTCTGCTTCGGTTGGCGATCCTCGGATCGCTGGTGGTGGTACTCGGCTGGGTCCTGCTGCTGCTACTGCAGGTGATGGTTGGGAAGGGACGCTTGCTGGTACTTGTCTTTCTTGTCTGATGACTGCTAATGCTCGTGTTCTTTCTGCTGCGGGTATGGTGTTGGAGTGCCAGAATCCGTCAGGGTCGAAGTCGGGGTCAAGATCCGGCGGGTGTGTCCAGGCGGCGAACGACACGATACCGTCGCTGTCGGCAGTACCGCGGTCGGGGACGAAGTCCAACACGAAAACGCCGGACTTCAGGAGAGCACGACCGATGAAGAGGCCGCCCTTCCCGTGGTAAAGTCGAAACTCGTTGGAGTAGGAGTCGCACTCCAGGTGAATCCCTTTGGCCATTAGTTGGCTTACGCTTAGTAGGTTGTATCCCAAGTTGTCGACAATGAGGACTTTGTTGAGCTGAAGTATGACGTTTGTCTCCATGGATTGTAACTGAACCACGCCTTGTCTGTTTGTTTTCAGGTTTTCGTTGTTGGCGACGGTGATGATGACGTCGCGGTTGAGGCGTTTCTCTCGTTGCACGAAGCGTCCCGAAGAGCACATGTGTTGACCGCAGCAGCTGTCAGAGAACCAGGTGTTGCGCCCGGTGGGTTCGGCGTTGGCGACCGCAGCATATGTCGGATTGACTTGAAGTCCTTGTGAGCGCGGTGGCGGGAGCTCTTCTTCGTCTGGTGCGTAAGTGGGTGGTGATCCGGGTGTGCAGTTGTCGATGTGTACCATGCAGTTAATAATGTTTGGTGTCTGTTGTGCAGATGTTGAAGAGCGCCTTGGAGGACTTTCTTGAGTGGAAGCGACTTGTGGGTCTACTGGGCGATAAACGCGAGGGCGTGTGCAGTTGACCTTGGAGTGCCCGGAAGTCTGGCAGTTGTGGCAGAACGGTGGTACGAAAGTAAGTCCTCTGTTGTCGCGTTGATCTTGCTTGCCGCGTCGATTGTAGTTGTTGTCGTTCCTTTGTTGAGTGTAGAAGACTAACTGCTGCTGCTTCCTTGGTTGTCTTTCTTCGAACAGGTCCATCTCCTGTTGTTCAGCGTGAAGCTCGGCGCAGAGGTGCATCTCCGAAATCCTTCCGTGGGCGCGAAGAAGCGATCGTGTGGTTCTCCATTCTGGCCCGAGCCCCGCGAGGACAAGCGTCACGAAGCTCTCTTCAGTGATTGTTCCTCCGCACCGAAGCAGGCGGTCGTGGAGGGTCTGGCAGCAACTCATATACAGCATCGCCTTTTCTCCGGTCTTCATCTGTATTGTTGTCAATTGTTGCATGAGTCTGCTTCGTGTCACGCTGTCGTTTGCTTGATAGAGGCACTTGAGGTGATGCCATGCGAGTTCTGCGGAGTTGCCATAGCTCCTGTATGTTCTGATGCTCTGCTGTTCTTGTGGTGACAGATTTCTCAAGAGAACTGTATACGCCAGCAGCGACTGATACGTGAAGATTTCTTGCTCCTTTCCAGTGCCGTTGCTTGGGAATGGCAGGGACCCGTTGAAGTATCCCAGGAGATGCGCAGCCTCCATCAGCAGCTCGAACTCGAAACTCCAGGTAAAGAAATCGTGTCCGTTGAATGGTGAGGATGTCTGCAGTTTAATCACGTGTGAGAACTGCGCCTGGAGGCTTAAAATCTCGTTTGGTGTCTGTTGTGATGCAGCTGCTGTTGGTTGGGCACGGGGCGGCATGAACTCGAACGTCCCCGGTGAAGAGTGATAAGGCGCAAAGGTAGGCGCTTGATTGTGTCGCCCGAATGATGAATTGTCGAGGCTCATCGGTGCTAATCCCATGTTTCCTCCATTGCTCTGTGTTGAATGCGCAGGTGTCCTTGTCTGCTGCTGCTGGTCGAAGTGCGACATGAAGCTGAAGAACATTTCCATAAGGTTGGGGTCCACGCTTGGAGAGGGTGATGGAGTTACCATCTCTGGTGCTCTTCCTGATGTTTCTTGAGCAGTCCCGGTCTCTGTCTGCAGTCCTGAGGCGTGTTGTCCAGAGTTGCCGTGTTGAGTTTCTTGGCCGCTGGGTGAGCCCGTAGAGATTTTCTTGCCCTTGCTGTCCATGTCTTGTAATCAATGAAGTCGTTGAATTGAGTTGAGTTGCAGGTTGTTGATAGAGCGCAGTTGCTGGGAGTTTGGTCTCTGACCAGCTCTCATACCATGTTGGGCTGAGAAATGCCCTTAGGATCTTTTCAGAGACTAAGTCCCAGTTGAAGATTGAGACTTGAGTAGTGCAGCGGAAGTTGAGGCAGTTGAACCCTTGTACTAGTATATGAGAACAAGTGATAATTAAAGAAACAAGCATACAGCAATATATAGGAAATAAGAAAGCAGTTGTAGAATACAGTTGCAGGAGCGGTTATCGAGTCGCACAGGCGACTCAATTGCCGCTTCGGTTACCATCCGCGATGTTGTAACTGTCAGTCGCAACCTCCAGTTGCGACCTTTCGAGTTCCTTCGCGTTCTTTGTCTGCCCCCTCGTGTAACCTCCGTTGACTCGCGTACCCCCCCTGTAATCTTCCTCGAGTGTAGTGTTACACTTCAGAAACGCTTAAGTCCTTTGAGATATTTCCAACAGCGCAAGGTGCAACATGTACCCGTAAATGCCCAGATATATTTCCGGTTTTATGAAAAATCAGTTGGGCCTTTTTCGGGAAATCAACTTCGTAGACCTGCTCATTTTTAGTGTTGCCGGGTTTCGGGCGTCCTACTTTTCAGATATCGGGATTTACCGGTACCAATACTAAAACGGGCCTGATACGGGTATCCCAACATAAAACACCGATATCGACGCTGTACGTAAGTGCCGCGTGGAGTCGATGCAATGCCTGTTAAATTATATATTTTGTTAGGTTTATCGAACTGTACTGTAGAGGGTACAACTCCCTCCTTGTATGCCTCTCTCTCTTCCTAGTCTCCCCCTCTTTTCTCTCCTCGACTTTCCTAGCCCAAAACCCTCACGCCATTCCATGGCTTCCTACCATTCCTACTAGCCTAGCTTTCTTAACATGATTTCAGAGCAGGCCCCTTTCGCTCGGGCCTTCTCCTCACGCTTCCGCAGCATACTCCCCCCCCCCGTTATGCCGCGCTGGCCCCGTCACTCCGTGCTGGCCCCGTCACGCCGCGCTGGCCCTGTCACGCCGCGCCGGCCCCGTCCCTCCGCGCTGGCCCCGTCACCCCGCGCTGGCCCCGTCACTCCGCGCTGGCCCCGTCACACCGCGCTGGCCCCGTCACGCCGAGCTGGCCCCGTCACGCCGTGCTGGCCCCGTTCCTCCGCGCCGGCCCCGTCACGTCGCCGTGCCTCAGTGCCTCAGTGCCGCCGTATCGCTGTCCCGCCATCCGCCGTGCCACGGTGCCGCCGCGCCGCCGTGCCGCTGGGTCGCCGTGCCGCCGTGCCGTCGTGCTGCCGTGGCGGCTTCGCCACGCCAGCGCACTGTCAGCTGCGGCCAGCGCCCTGTCCTAGGCGCCACCCATGGCGCGTCGCTGAAGATTCGCCCCCCCCCGCCCCCCCTTCCCCTGCGTCTCCTCTTCCTCCTGCCGCAGCTGCTGTCTTCTACCCGGTCGTCGCCTCGCCGTGCCACACCGCCGAGAGCCTTCAGCCATGGCCGTTGCCTGCGCTGCCTCTCGCCGGGGGATGTCACCATGCCAAGCCCGAGGGGTAGATACCCGGCTGATCTCGAGCATGGGGGTGTAAGGGGTTAGGGGGTGGGCTTGTGACTACCAAGCCTAGGGGGTGTGTTAAATTATATATCTTGTTATATAATTGGTAGGCTTGGTAGGTTTATCGAACTCTACTGTAGAGGGTACAACTCCCTCCTTGTATGCCTCTCTCTTCCTAGTTTCCCCCTCTTTTCTCTCCTCAACTTTCCTAGCCCAAAACCCTCACGCCATTCCATGGCTTCCTACCGTTCCTACTAGCCTAGCTTTCTTAACAATGCCCCCCTCCCCCCCCTTCTGTTAAATTATATATATATTATATATATAATTGTAGGCTTGGTAGTTGTGCTACTTACTAAATCCTACTGTAGAGGGGACTACCCCCTTTCTTGTATCTCCTTCTCTTTTAGTCCAACTTCTCTTCTCTCTCGTAACTCTCTCCTAGCCTAAAACCTCTCGCCATTTTCATGGCTCCTACTCCTACCTACAGTAGCTTCTTTTAACACCTCCCCCCCCCCCCCCTCTCCTCCCCGGATAGTCTGGGCGACCAGTACTCTTTGTACTAAAGCCCGAATAGAACCACGCGACGGGCATTCGAAAGAAAGGCAGCACAGCACGGGAGCGCATCGAGACCATGCGAGATGACAACAGGGCTTGGGGCACATCTCCGCCTCCAGCTCAGCTGCAACCAAAGAAACCCAGCCGCATACCCGTCGTCCTCGCACGGACGAAGCGCACGACGATAGCGAACTTCCCAACATACCTGTTCACAAGGTGGATAATGACGTGTTGACAAACACCTCGTACGACGAGAGCGAAAGCAAAGATGACGAGGACGTTGAAGAGGTGCAGCCGCCTCCTAAAAAATCTGCGCGCAAGCTTGTCATCAAGAAGGCGAAGAATAGCAAGGCTACAGCTGCGGTAAAGGGGAAGCAAAAAGGTCAACGATGCCGACGAAGCCCACCCCAACCTCCCAAAGTGGACTCACAAAGAGTCCACCATCCTGGCCGCGGGGCGCTGGTTCACTCGTGAGGACCACAAGGCTTGCGTTGGCAAGCAGTCCTCCTAGTGCTGGAATCGCCTCGTCGAGCTCCTAAGCCGCGAGCACCCCAGCTTTACTCGTGGCCCTGCCGCTTGCAAGTGCGAGTGGCAGAGGCTTCAGAAGCAGTGGGCTGATCTCCAGAAAGGGAATTGTGCGAGTAGGGGAGCTACCGTCATGATGCCGCTCTAGTTTGGGTACACAGCCCTACAGCTGAAAGAATCCACGTGCGTCCACCCGCATCTCGTTGACGGTGGCGGTGCGGACGACTTAAAGCTCGTGTCTCGTATTTCCTAGAGTATTACGCTTAGTTGGAAAACGGCAAGCTTGATTGGTGGGCGAGGTTCGAAAAGCAAAGGTGGGTTTGACGAGGGTAGCGAGAAACAAACAATTTCGGGACCAATCGAAGAAGCCAGCACTCGGGAAAGCTCTGAGTCTTGTATTTCTGGCTGGCCGTTATACGTTTGCTTTGGGCGCTCGACTTTCAGGGGGTGTATAGTCTCGGGTTGGGGTGGGTTTCAGGTTGCAGTTTCGGTTCGCTTCTTCCTGAAGCGATATTCGCGAGGCACCCTCACAAATCTTCCCAATCTATCACCACCCCTCATTTCAAAGAAATCGAATGGTTTTACAACCCTAAGGTCCGCGCCTCCGGATTTGACTCGCTGGTTTGACAGGCCACCTCTCTCGCAAGCACTTTTGGCCCTCGCTTGCTGGGAAAGTCGAGTTACCGAGTACCAAGCGTATTACCTTTGATCCCAAACCAGAATTATGAGACGCGGGCTTTGACGGTCAACCCAGGGACTCCTGTCGTCAGCACGCCTATCAACGCACCGCACGTGGGTGCTGGTGCGCAAGGTGAGTGATCGGTAAGGTCGTCTTAAAGCCCGCTGCCCAAATTGTTCATACGCAGTGCGTATGAACGTGAGCAGTGATTTTAGCAAAGCCAGTGAAAATATCGCAAATGCATGAAATTTTGCTGTCGAAACTAGAGAGGTGGTTGCTGGCAGCCAATCAGAAGCATTTATTTTGCCTGATGAATCAATCGTGTTATGTTTGCTGAAACAGGTTTGGTAAATTCCTTGAATTTTGGGCCATCCGATTAACGTAAGAGCGATCCGACGGCCCAAACTCAAACACTTGTTTGTTTTGAAATCGATGACCTTCAATCAGAACGGAGCTGTATATCCGAGCTCCACCAATCTCGGCTGTCAAAATAAGAGAAGTTATGTGTGTTTGCCGAGTCCCAAAACGCAGGAAGTTTCAACTTTAGTGTTTGTCGAGGGACTTGCACAGGTCGCAAACAACACACTTCACTTCTAGTAACCCCTCCCACTTCCCCTTTCAAAAGCAGTGCGTTTGACACCCTGGGCTTGCACTTTGGACTGCCGGCTTTAAATAAGATGCACTGTCACAGGATCGAATGTGTCGAGGAAAGATTGCACTATCGATCAGTACAAGGCGCTTTTATACTTCCAGAGTACATCAGGTAACCAGGTTTATCTTATCCTAGGGGAATAGACCCTTCTAGAAGATAGAATCACCCTGCGTATAGCCACGCGAGGCTATTGGCTTTAAGGGATTGCAGCAGGATTACGCTAGATAGAGCGCACCAATACATCCCAAGCCTGGTCGGTGATACAATTATAATAGCAGGATAAACCAAAGGTTAATGGAAAAGGAAGAATAGGAAACCAAATGAGATGGAATAAAAGAGAAATGAAAAAGGAAGGAAATAAGTAAAGGCCAAGTGGTGTAACGGGGTCGTTCTCTCACACTTCCCCCCCTCAAAGCTGGGTGGTAGAAGTAACACCCTGCTTGACAAGGTAGTCATGCAGAGGACGACGGGCGTTACCCATGTCGGACTCAGGTACCCAGCTGTCCTCAGAAGGATCATAACCCTTCCAACGGATGAGAAGCTCCACGGTGCCATTCCGACGACGGCGGTGTGCGAGCACGGACTCGACCTCGTACTCGGGTTCATTCTGGACGAGGACGGGCGGTGGCGGCGGCGGTTGGCGTCCGACGAAAATCGTGTTCGGGTCCCGATAGGGCTTCAGAAGTTGGACGTGGAAGGCGTTGTGAATCTTCCAGGTAGCTGGCAGGTGTAAGCGGAAGGTAACAGGAGTGACCTGTGCTTCAACGAGAAAAGGCCCGCAGAAGCGAGGTCGAAGTTTAGATGGGAGGTGGCTGCTGTCCAGGTTGCGGGTGTCAAGAAGCACTTGGTCTCCCACCGTGATGGTGTGGTCGTTGCGACGGCGATCGGCCTGGCGCTTCTGTTGCTGTTGAATGTCGAGTAGGCGCTTGTGGGTCCGATCCCAAAGCTGATGCATGGTTGTGATGAAATCATGTGCGGGTTGGACTGTAGCTAATGCTGTCGGTTTTTGTGGTGTGAGTGGATGGCGTCCGTAGCAGAGGAAGAACGGCGTCTGTCCAGTCGCGGCATGTGTAGCATTGTTGTAAGCAAACTCTAGTATGGGCAGGTGCAAGTCCCATTTGGAGATGTCGTCCTTGCAGGCTGCTCGGAGGAGTTGCTCAACAATTTGGTTGAGGCGCTCGGTCTGTCCGTCTGTCTGCGGATGGTAAGCAGATGACATGGCGAGTTTGGTCCCGAGGAGAGACATAAGTTCCTTCCAGAACTTGCTGGTGAACTTAGGGTCTCGGTCGGAGATGAGTGTGGTTGGAATGCCATGCTGTGAGATGATGTATCGAACGAAGAGTTGCGCTGTTTCTTCGGCGCGTGCTGTCGTGTGTGTCGGGATGAAGTGTCCCATTTTGGAGAATTTGTCGATGACGACAAGGATGGCGTCATGACCGCTGGAGGTAGGTGGTAACCCGGTGATGAAGTCCAGGCTAACCACTTGCCATGGTTGTTCTGGGACAGGAAGAGGCTGCAGTAGTCCCGCCTTTTTCTGCTTGGTACTCTTCATCCGCTGACATGTATCACACGAGGTGACGAATTTCCGGACATCTTCTGCTAAGTGGGGCCAGTAGTAGTGTTTGGCGATACCGGTGAGTGTTTTGTTGCTACCGAAGTGTCCAGCGTAGAGGACGTCGTGGTATTCTTTGAGTAGTAACTGGCGCCAAGGAGGGTAATTGGGTACCCAGATTTTCGTTGATCCTTTCCGGTACGCGATGTCACTGTCCCACTGTAGCAGATGTCGCTTTTCTGCCAAGGGAATTTCGGGGTCGGTGGCGTACCCGTGTGTGAAGAGTCCCTTGAGTAGTGGATTCATCTCTTCGACCTAAATAGCGGCAACGTGTGCAGGCCGGCTGAGAGCGTCTGCTTTGTTCTTGTGACCGGGCTTGTACACGATGTCGTAGTGGAAGTGTGTCTCGAGGAAGTCGATCCACCGGACCTGCCTCCTGGAAAGGTTGGGTTGTGTCTTCAAGTATTTCAGGCTGCAGTGGTCGGTGTAGACGGTTGTTCTTCGTCCTTCGAGATAACATCTCCTCCTGAAGGGCTGCGATGCTCGCGAAGAGCTGCTGGGTAACCTCGGCGTTGTCGAAGTTTGCCATCCTGTTCAAAACACGCGCGGGGGGGGGGGGGTAGTTCGAAAAAACACGGAGCTGGTGCTTACCAGAATCGGCGTCGAATTGGTCGCCCCCGGCAGTTTTTCGAGGTAGGAGTACCGCTGCGGCTGCTTAGCTGAGCGCGGCCGAGTGAGAAAAAGCTCTGATTACCAAGTGTTACAGGATCGAATGTGTCGAGGAAAGGTTGCACTATTGAATGATACAAGGCGCTTTTAAACTTCCAAAGTACATCAGGTAACCAGGTCTATCTTATCCCAAGGGAATAGACCCTTCTAGAAAATAGAATCACCCTGCGTGTAGCCACGCGAGGCTATTGGCTTTAAGGGATTACGGCAGGATTACGCTAGATATAGCGCGCCAGTACACCCCGAGCCTGGTCGGTGATATAATGATAGTAACAGGATAAACCAAAGGTTTATGGAAAAGGAGAAATAGGAATCCAAATGGAATGAGATAAAGACCAAATAAATCAGGATAAAAAGGGGAATGAAATGGAATGGAGAATGGAACGGGGGTCGTACTCTCACAGGGAGCAGCCTCGGACAGGAAAGCAAGCTCGTACTGGTGGTCCTCCAAGACGTCAGTGGCGAGGGCAGGAGCACCCCCGACGGATGGAGGACAGACAGGGTCAGAGACCAGAGCGGTAGCAAAGTCAAGGCGGCGAGTAGAGGCAAAGTCAGTGACAGCAGCTACAAGAGCGTCAAGACTGGAGACAGGAACAAACGGGGTCGATAACGAGGGAGGCAAGGACCCGAGGAACAAGAGGACGGGCAGCAAGAAGGTAGTCAGACAGAGGGGGAGGCGCGACAATGAGCGACGATGGAGGAGGCGAAGGCAAACGGGGAGGACGAGACGCGTAGGGAACGACGCCAACATAGGGTGAGAACGCTGACCAGGAGATACAGGATGAGTATGAGAGGGACGGCGACACCAGACGTGAGACGGAGGCGTGGGTCAGGGGACAGACCAAACCGTATGCGTCGCTCAGCGACCCCATTCTGCTGCGGGGAGTCCGGTAGGGTGTACGTCTGGGTGATACCCTCCACATGACAGAATTGGCCCAGCCGACCCGAGGCGAACTCGCCGCCATGGTCGGAGTGGAGACACAGCACAGGGAGACTGCGGCTAGAGGCACGCAGTGACGAGCCACGGGATAAGAATGTCAGGCACGTCGGCCTTCTGCTCTAGGGGAAACACCGTGGTCTTAACGCGGTGAAGTTGTCAACGAGCACAAAGCAAGTAGCCGCTCGCGACGCGGCCCCTGGGACAGGGCCTGGGCCCCCAGACGTCCAAGTGCAGGGTCTGAAGGGGTGTAGTGGTAGGCGAAGTGAGGAGGAGTGAGGAGCATGGCGCAGCCGGCCCTCAACGCAGGGCGTGCACAGCGGCGCAGGCGAGGGAGGGAGAGCAGGGAGCGACGCAGGGAGGCCGAGGACTTAGACCGTGCTGAGACATGTAATGCAGGCGGAGGAGCGCGGGGTGACATAGACAGTGGTGCCACAACAGGGGACGGGTGAGTGAGCGACCGACATGAGCAGGCCGCAGCTTACTGGGTGGACGCAGGACCGAAGGAGGACTCGCCCGCCGGGGGGGGAGCAGTGTCCAGCGTAAACAGGCCAGACACAGGGTCCCGGGGAAACGTTGCAAGGGGGGCAACTGAGGCGGCCTCGGAACAGACCGCGTACCGCTCGGAGGGAACGTAGTGGTGACGCCGAGGTCCTGAAGACAGTCGACACCAACTAAGTTCCTGGAGAACCAAGGGATGTGCAAGCCTATAAGGGAACCCGAGGGAACCGCTGGACAGGGAAGGGTAGTGTAGCTGCGAACAACTACAGGACCAGAGGAGGGGTCCGCAAGTGCGACAGCGGCAGGCGCAGCAAGCGGCGTGAGGGTGGCGTGGTCGTGGAAGAAACAGGCTGACGCACCGGAGTCTAGAGTGAAGGACAGTGACGCCGTAGTGGCCGACGACGGAGGAGCAAGGGTAGAGCCTAGGCTAGACAAAGCAAGCTGTCCTAGACGACTGAGCAGCAGGGGAGTCTGGACTATACACAGGTGCTATGCTAAGCTAGAGAACACAGAGTAATACGATACGGAAACACTCGAAGCGTCAGCATACAAAGAATGCAAGGCATAACTAATCTGATCCATGTCTCAGTCAAACAGAGGCACACCGTGGCGCAGCAGGCCGGGCTAGACAGGGAGGTCCGGAGCGGGAACCAAAGCGGCGACGGAAGAGGTCGTCAAGGCGGTAGAAGCAGCGGGTGGTGTGGTGCCCAGCGGCGGCAAACCGTGTCACGCAGGGGCCCGGTCTGAAGCTGGTACTGGCAGCTCACAGCACCGAAGCTACCGGTGGACGCCGAGCTGCGAGGGCCACCACCACAACACCACCGCCAGGGGCTCCTGGCCACCCAAGCGGGAGAACAAGCCCACGGCGGTTTGCTGCTGCTGTGAACGGCCACTGCTGCTGCCCGGCTGGCGACTGTGGCGGCTGCGACTGCTGCTGTTCCTGGGCACCAGCACCAACCCCCTCGTCAGAACCACTGTCCCGCCACCACCACCACTAGCGCCACTCCACGTCCTCCCTTGGGGCCACGGCGGCCCCCGGCGCTGGCGTTGCTTGCGGATAAGGCGCAGCTGCTGTCTCAGGTGCAAGTGCAGTCGTGGCAACTGCGGCGGGGACGTCAGCGTACGTGCATTGGGAGGGGCACAGCCCTGAAAGATAGCGACTGCCGCAACACCGCTCTACTGAGCGATAGTGCACTGACGAGTCTCTATCTCAGACAGAGTAGTGGCAAAGGCGGTCAGGGTAGGTTGGCAGAGTGCTGACTAAGGAAGTGGTCGCGAGCAGTGGCTAAGCGGTCAGGCAGGCGCATGGCGATGAGGTATAGGGTAGAGCAGAAAGGTGGAGGGAAGACAGTGAGCTGGGCAGCAGAGCTAGCAGCACGGTAGCTGGTCTCTAGTGCACGGAGGTGAGTAGTGAGGTCAGCTACCGTAGGGAAAGCAGAAAGATCAGGGAAGAGCATGGATAGGATCAAGCGGCCAGCAGAGGCGGAAGCAGGTGTGGAGTAACGCTCAACTATGCAGCGAGAAAGTCCTTGGTGTTCGCGACAGCAGTAAAGCGCGGACGCTCAGACAGGGGGAGGGCATGGCTAATGACAAGCTGGGCTACTGCGTCGCGAGAATCCCAGACAGCTCGAGCAAGCGCAGCAGCAGCAAAAGCCTCCCTCTCAGCAGTGGTAGGGTCAGCAGGGAGGGGATCAGGTGCAGGGGGCCGAGGAAGCAAACCATCAACATGCATAGC